TTATATTCGAATTAGGGTTTTTCATTTCATATTAAACATTTTTAATTTTTAATTTGATCTCTCTCTCCGATCATGTCGTCGGTATGCGTGAACGATGCATTAACCGACGACGAGCTGAGATGGGTATTGTCGACGCTAGACAGCGACAAGGACAAAGAAGTGTTTGGTCTTGTCTGCAAGCGGTGGCTACATCTACAAAGCACCGACCGGAAGAAGCTAGCGGCGCGTGCTGGTCCACACATGCTCCGCCGTCTCGCCTCAAGGTTCACTCAAATCGTGGAATTGGACTTGTCTCAGTCAATCTCAAGGTCTTTTTATCCAGGTGTCACTGATTCCGACCTTGTTGTTATCGCTGAGGGATTCAAGTGCCTCAGAGTTCTTAATCTGCACAACTGTAAAGGTACCTTATCAAAACTTTTTGGATTTGAACAAGAAAGACTTCTTCTTTTTGCTCTCTATCGATTTGGAAGTTAATCTGGTGAAAGTGGTTTAATTTAACTTGTGAAAGGAAGAATTTTTAAGAGAGTAGAGGTATTAGATTTGGTTGATCTCTGTTGAATGATTTAGGTTCTTACTAACTTCAGTGTTGTTTACTTTTGTCCATTTTGGGTGGTTGCCTTTTTGTGATAAAGAGATTGTTTCAGCTGTGACCTGAAATAGTAAGGTTTATATGGATATATTGTGTCTGAACTTCCTAGTGTCTATATGAGCTTCTTTGTTTTCCCAAATAGACCTTTTTGTCTAGTCCTGTGGACAACATCCTTTGGTGGTGTGAATTTTGGTGATGATTTTGACTTCTGGGAACAGGTATTACAGATACTGGGTTGGCCTCAATTGGAAGGTGTCTTTCTTTACTGCAGTTTCTAGATGTGTCATACTGCAGAAAGCTCTCAGATAGAGGATTATCGGCAGTTGCAGAAGGCTGTCATGATCTAAGGACATTGCATCTAGCGGGTTGTCGTTTCATCACCGACGAATCGTTAAAATCACTCTCTGAGAGATGTCGTGACCTGGAAGCTCTCGGGCTTCAAGGCTGCACCAATATCACTGATTCAGGCCTTGCTGATCTTGTGAAGGGATGCAGAAGGATAAAAACTTTGYATATCAATAAATGCAACAACGTAGGAGATGCTGGAGTTTCCGTTGTGGCGGAAGCTTCTGCATCTTCCCTCAAGACGCTTAAATTGCTGGACTGTTACAAAGTCGGGAACGAATCTATATCGTCCCTGGCACAGTTTTGCAAGAACCTGGAAACTCTGATAATCGGTGGATGCAGAGACATCTCTGACGAATCTATCATATTACTGGCAGATTCCTGCAAAGACAGTCTCAAGAACTTGAGGATGGATTGGTGCTTGAATATATCTGACTCTTCCCTTAGCTGCATTCTGAATCAGTGCAAGAACTTGGAGGCTCTTGATATCGGTTGCTGCGAAGAGGTCACAGACACTGCTTTCGGGGATTTGGGGAGCAACGATGTTTTGGGATTGAAGGTTTTAAAGGTGAGCAACTGCCCAAAAATCACGGTAACAGGGATAGGCAAGCTTTTGGAGAAATGCAGTTCCCTGGAGTATCTAGACGTAAGGTCTCTTCCACATGTGACAGAAGTGAGATGTAGTGAAGCTGGCCTGGAGTTCCCCAAATGTTGTAAAGTTAACTTTTCGGGAAGTTTAACCGAGCCAGATGTTCTGCTTTGATCGTTGCTGTTGGGAGGAAAGATTGTAAGTCAGGAAATTCTGGTCTGCCCTAAACCCTCTGTGATCCCTCCATCTCTCGCTGTCTCGTGTATGGGCACACTAATTGGCTTATGGTCCATCAGTGAGTCCTCTCTCAAGCTCTTGTACATTTTTGTGCATTAAATATTTGGTTGTGGCGGCTCCTTTAATAATCTTCAATTGCTTTGCAAAGTGTGCGTAGTTTTTGTTGGATCTGCTTCTCCTTAAGAGTAAGAAAGATTCAACACTTGATATTTGAAGACTCTGATTCTCTATGTAATATAATGTAACAGTGTTTGTCCTAAAGTGATCATTGAAGCTCTTTGATTTACTTTTGCTGAAATGGAAGAAGACTCCTCGTATTCCTGCAGCCTCATTGTTGGTTTTATGATGTGGTCTTATACACTCAGTCTTTATATTTGACGCATTCCATGGCACTTTGTTTTCTCCCTGTTATTTCTCCTTGGACGTGTGTTCTGGTGCAGAAGGGGACTGTGATTTAGGAACAAAGATGAGAACAGCTGAATATATTTAATCTCTTGTTCTTGTCTACAATGGAAAATAAAAAGGCTAAAGCAAAAAAATGAGTTTGTACAATATCGTGTCTCTTCTAGGTTCTCTCCTAATATTCTCTGATTGAAACAGGTGAAGAGTAGAAATGAAATATTTCCTCTTCGACCCTCGCTAATTAGCTTTTCAGAGAAAACCACTGCAGTTCATTGCTCATCATTGTTTAGCGCTTGCTCGAGACAGTTGAAAGCTTTCTGGTAGCTCAAGAATCCCATGAACCAGAAGTCAAAGTCATCGACCGTGACTACTTCAAGGTATTTCTGAGATGGCTTCTTCGTGTTCTTACTCTGGTTCACTCCCTTGATCTTGCACAAAGGGATTGAAACTTTGTAGTGAACCCTGATGAGATCTCCCTGAGGAGAAGCCACTTTGATCGATCTCTCGCTGCAGAACGCAATCTTCTTTGATGAGATAAAGAGTAGGCCCGCGATAGGACCCGCAGTTGTTGATAGGTAGCACTGGTACGCCGTGAATAGTTTCTCTTCATCGCAGACTTTAAAGAGCCGCTTGTAGATCTTCTCTAAGCCTCCCATCTGAAGGATCCTAGCTCCCAAGGATAGCTTTCTCTTGACTGTCTCGGTTAGTTTTGGTCCTAACTTGTCCTGATCTCTAGCTCCATCTGTGAAGCCACCGGTTTTCTTCTTTTGCAGAGTCGGTTTTCCTTTGGCTGTTAAGTAAAGAAAATCATTCCTGTTAGCCTCCATATATACAAATATTTCCAAGGAAAAAGAAGATAAGCAATGGAGAGAAAGGTAAAGATTCTGACTTTGTTCGAATTTCTTGGAAGAAGTTGGGATTTGGAGCTTGTTGATGGAAGCTGGATCAGGCAAGTAACCCACCGGAGCTGTCTTGATTGCAGGAAATGCAGTAACTTGTTGGTGAACCCTGCTCAATGTCATCTTGGAGGATTGATTATTGGTCTTGGTTCTTGATCTTGAGAAAGAAAGAGAGATTGTGAGTGATGGTGATGATGAAACTGTGTGTAGTGGGAAGGTATTTAAAGGGAAAGACAAAGAGACAAGAGGCAGTTGAAACCAAAGCTTTGAATCGTTGAGACTTGATGACCCATTTGTGGTAATGGATGAGTCATGGATGGGTCATCAAGTCACAGAGATAAAGCTACTTTCTTTGGTGTTAAAAGCAATGAGACCAAGATCAAGCATATGCTCTGTTTTGCTTTTTTTTTTTGCAAGAAATATACATATATAAAGGTTTTAATACAACTGCCTAATCCGTGTTAGGAAACAAGGTCTAAAGTAATATCAATAACTGATGAAATGTTTTTAGTTTTATGTTTTTGTTTTTTTTGAACAATAGTTGTATGTTTTTGCTTTCCAAATAACAAAACAACTTAGTATTATGTTTTTTCTTTCAATAATTTATCTTTAAAATTGAGAAGATGCCATTTACAAATTGATGATACATTGATCATTTTATATATCAAATCACATTTTAAAGTTATTAGATTCAGAGATGCCAACAAAAAAAGGTTA